ACCGATGGAGAAGCTGCTGTGGGAGCTGTTGAAGCCAGGGGACGGCGCGTTGTTGACGTACGTGATCTCTGGCCAGGGGGAACACTGGAAAGGAAAAGCTGGAGTCAGGATTGCCCCCAACGGGTCTCATGCCTGCTCTGCTCAGTGCAGGTTAACAGCTACCTGCTGACTGACCACCAACTATGAGACAGAGTTAAAGAATAAAGTGGGGGATTCAAAGGAGCCACGTCAGGTCCCTGCAGATGCTCACAAAGCTCTGCTTTAGTGGTTCTCAGTCTCAAAAGGCCAAAAGTCACAAAATTCAAAGGCAGTGTGATGTGGGATCTAAACCATCACTCTGGCACTGGGCAGACTTGGCCCCCCCAGCCTGGGCACCTCCGTGCAGCAGCCAGGCAGCAGGTCAAACAGGTGCTGACAGAGTCCCTGAATTCACCCAGGGCAGGACAAGGGCTCCCTGCCCAGGGCTGTTCAGCACTGACCCCTCAGTCACATTTTAAGACTGACACTTTCACCTGGTACAGGGAGGAGACAACGGAGTTTTCTGCCAGCTCACAACCTCAGTGGCCAGTTGCCACGTGGGCAAAATGAAGCTCGGCAGGAGAGGTAAAAGCCTTTTATTAGATGATCTATTACAGAGGGGAAAAACCTGTCATGTTCCCAGGCACCAGAACCCCTTCTCAGGTCTAGTAATAAACTCTTCCACTGCCGACAAAATTTGTCTTGCTTTTGTCTTGCAGATATTAACAACGTGGCCAGATCTTTCATGGCAGAACAGCCGGTTCCTGAGCATGAGGTAAGATGGCTTTTGGTGAAACCTGGCTGCCAGCTGCTGCCTGGGAGAGCCCCCACCTCTGTGAGTATCGTGGTTTCATAGGAAGGCTGGTACTTCTCCTTCTCGTGAGGTGTTCGCTTCTCCATCTTCTCCCTGTCTGTCTTCTGCTTCCGATCAGCTCCCTTGGGCTGGAAAGGAGACACCCCTGTTAGAGCAGCAATGTGGAAGGGTGGCTGCAGGCGGCTGGACAGACGTGCCAGCAATGCAAGAACCAGAGAAGGTGACTTGTCTTTTTACTCACCCGCTTGGTGTAGAGGGAAAAGGGCTGGGACTGTGCCCAGAGTAACAGCACCGTGTCTGTGCCACCCCAACACCCCGAGCCACCCACACCCTGAAAAAGGGGCCCAAAATATCTGAACAGGAGGTGAAACGTTTTTCAGGGGAAACTTCTCCCACCAGCCTATGCTGGCTCTACGGGACAAAGGCTGGTCTCTGGTGTCATGTATCTGAGCTGCCCCTTCAGCACCTCCACCAGCCGCTGAGAGGTGGGGCTTCAGTGGCACCAACTGTGCCAGGACACGACAGCAGGATTATGCCCCTGCCTTTGCCACAAGCTTGCAAAGCTGCGTGCTCATGCACAGGACTGAGGGGGTTTTACTTGCTGCCTTTATCAAAGGCTCAAAGCCCTGGGGAAAGCAGCAAGTAGGAGAAAGCTGTTATAACCACCAAAGCCATCCTGGTGGAGAAGCAGAGGGGAGGAAGGGAAGAGCAGGGCAGGAGCCCGAGTCACCTTGACCCACAACAGACCCTGCCACACACAGCGTTCAGTCTGCCACCCCAACAGCCCTGGCAGCAGGAGGCAGCTGCACCAGATGTGCAGGAAATAAGGCCAAGCCCATCAGAGCTAATCAGAGACCACCCTCTGCAGGGAGACCGTGCCCTGAAGCCACAGTGTTGCTTTGATCTGGGTCACGGCCATCGGAGCCAGGAGAACCATCCCCACCCCCAGCAGGAGCTGGAGCCCCACAGGCCGGGTTGTGACCAGCTGTGTCCCTGAGCTCCAGCCCACACCCACCCGCCTCGGCCCGGGCTCCACCAGAGACACCCCCTGGCACCAGCCAGGCACGAGAGGAGAGATCTGTGAGGCCACGTGAGGCCTACAAGAAAGCTGGGGAGGGAATTCTGATAAGGGTTTATAGTAATGGGACAAGGGGTAACAGCTCCAGACTGGAAGAGGAGAGATTCAGATTAGGAATTAGGACGAAGTTCTTCACTCTGGGGGTGAGGAGACACCAGAACAAGTTGCCTGGGAATTTGAATGCTTCATCACTGGATGTGTTCAAGACCAGGTTGGATGGGGCTTTGAGCAACTTGGTCTAGTGGGAGGTGTCCTGCCCATGGCAGGGTGTGGGAACCAGACAGTCTTTAAGGTCCCTTCCAACCCAAACTATTCTGTGCAACAGGGGCTGGACGCCTGTCCTCCTGGAACAGGGGGATGCAGAAGGCCCATCAGCTGCAGCAAGGAGTTCAGACAGACACCAAAGCTCCTTGGAAGATCTCCCAAGCTGACAAGACACAAGACTAAATCTGGGAGGTTTCAGACAAAGGCAACACAACCAACGTTCTCCCTGTGCACTGTTCTTGGCTTGCTGGTTTTAGAGCCTCAGTGGCCTGTGGACTTGGTTAGCAATGTGAGACCACAAGGACTGAGAGGCAGTGACAAAAAGAGAGTTTGGAGGAAATCTACAGTGGACTTTTTTCCTCTCTCTAATGCTGTGGCTTGGTCCTTCAGCTGGAAAAGTCAATCACAGGTCCATCACCAATTCTACAGCTAGAGAAATACTGGCTGAAGACTCTGCCTGAAATCAGCAGCAGAGCTGCATCCTGCAAGCAGTGCTCAGCTGCCCAGGACAGCCCTAACCCTAACCCAGGACTGGGCTTTAGAAAACAGGCAGAAAAGAGCCCAAGTCTGCCCGATTCAGAGACCACATTTGCAAGGGAGCTGGAAAAGAATTCCAGGCACGGATATGAATTGGAAAGGAGAGTGGTGAAGGGTCAGAAGACTTAGGAAGGAGGTGCAGTGCCTCAGTGTCTGGGGTCTAACAGTGATGGGGACAGGGTGGCACCAGGGGCACCCAGCACAGAGCTCAACCCTTGTTCCCTGGGGCTGCAGCGTGAGCTGGAGCTGACTCCCCGTTTGTCTCCTAGCAGGGACAGGCCACCAGCGGGCCAGGGTACCTTGAAGACCTTGATCTGGCAGCTGGCAGAGTGCAGGTGCTCCGTGTACTCCCCGTTCTCGTTCTCCTTGAAGGTGTCTATCTGGACGCGGAAGGGAACCCCCTTCTCCCCTCCGTGCTTCCGCATGGTGAACTCCGTGCTGATGCAGTGCACCTGGGGAGGGCAGAGCCTCAGGGCAGCAACTGCCTCGTGTTCCACCAGCCACGACCCTCCCAGCCCCTCCTGAGAGCCTGCGCAGCACTGGCACGAGGGGCAGCCTGTCAAGAAGGGCTGGGATGGGGCCACACCGAGTACCCCCAGCACCCAGGAGCTCCAGGGATGCCGTGCAGAGGTGGAGCCACGTCCTCTCAACAAGGTTTGGAACCTCTCAATGTTACAAGGGAGAGCAGGGCTGGGAGCTCCCGGCCTCCACACGCTGCAGCTCCAGGTGGGAGGGACAGACTTCCAAGAGGTATTTTAGGCAGCTGGTGAGATTTGCAAAGGCAAGACAGAGATCCAAATAGTGAAACCAGCACGACCTCAACCACCACAAACACGTGTAAAACTCCTTGGTGGCCAGCTATGCCTATGCCTTGTTAATGCAGGAGCTGCTGCTCTCTTGCGCTGCTTGAGGCAGGAGGTGGGGTGTGTTTTAGTCAACATCCTTCTACCACGGCAGCATCTGGCTGCTACTTCAGTGCTCTGAATTAACAAAGTGTCTCCTTTCCTCACAGAAAACTTGTTGTTTTTTTTTTTCCCCTAGACCCCTGCAATAGGAATTTCTTCACTTGTCTTACCTGGATAAACACAGAAGTTCTCTTGGAAGGATCCCACAGGAACTCTACTGTGTTGAGCTGGGTTGGGTTTGCTCTAGGGTCAATGATGCCCACGGACATTGGGATATCTGCAGGGGACACAGGGAGGACAGATGGTGATTTGTCACAGGAGGAAGAGAACACACGTTCCATGGGGCCTCTGTTCACAGGGAACGTCTGGGAAACCACCCATGTCTCTCCAAGTGCAGAACAGTGACAGTACTTTGCCCCAGACCAGGAGGCACCTCAGCACCCACATCTCCTCCAGCCCTGGCCAGGGTGCTGCCCTGGAGCCTCACCTATGTCCAGGATCCTGTCCCCAGGCCTGTTCCAGCGCCAGCCCTCCAGCTGCTGGTGCTCCGTGTACTGCAGCCGCCGGTCGTGGAACACCACCCGGAAAATGCTCTGGAGGGAGAGAACAGTCAGGGCCTGGGGCTGCCCTGGGAGCCCCACAGCTTCAGGCTGCGAGGTGTTCCCAGCCACAGCGGGGAGCAGAGCGGCCTGAAGGCTTCATGGAGAACCCAAATCAGGATGAGAAATCGCAGTCAGACCCTCGGGACAGAAGCGTGAAGGCAGCAGCTCAGCCCTGCTGGACACGAAGCAATCAGCAGCCAGCACCTGGCTCAGACCCAGGTCCCCCCAGACCGGCCGGACACCACAAGGTGGGAGAAGGGGAGAGGGAAAACAACCCCCAGCCAAGGCAGAGCCTCCCCAGAGGCTGTCACTGAGGCTGCTGCAGGGGTGTGGGACAGGGCTTTGCTCGCTGCTCCCCACGCAGGGCTCATCCTCAGCAGGACTGTCCCCGGGCTCTCTGCTCACCTTTACCAGCTTCCCATTTATCTCTGGCAGCTCCCCGATTTTCCTGTTGTCCAGCATCCGGATTTCATAGGACTGCCCTGAGGGACAGAGGACCTCAGGGTTAGTCAGGGATGGGCATCTGCTGCCAGCCCTCCACTGGCATTCTGATACCTTCTTGTGCCACACCAGACATGCCACTTGATCTTCCAGCCATGCTTTAGTGGGGTGCAAACAACCAGGAGCCATTGGAGCCATGGCTCTGACACCCCTCACCAGAGCAGACAATCCTCCCCATGCCTGCAGCACTGTCCAGGAATTACCTTTATTAACCCAAGGCCAAGAACAGGGAAGGAACTGGTTGCACAAGCTTCACCTGGCTCTGGTCGCCCACCCTGATCTCCCACTTCTACTTGAATGCAGCAGGTATAGCTTGAACCTGCACCAGACCTGCTGCAGAGCACCCTGCCACAGATACACCCCAGAACCACCTCACACCACGAGGCTTTCATGGGTTAAATCCTCCAGGGAACCCACTGCCGTGGGCAGAGGGCAGGCAGCAATCAGGGGTTTGCTATCGAGGTGCTGCCCACTCCCAGAAGGAAACTTCCAGGGGCAGAATTTTAATTTTCAGGGTGTTTACATGAGGCTGATGCACCCGCAGAGGGCACGGGGCTCCTCTCACCTTGGTTGAGATAGGTGAGGGTTTCATCGTGCAGCTTGACGGCCGGGGAAGTGGCAGCACACAGCACGTACTGGAAGGGCAGGATCTTGTTCTCGTTTTCAGGAGGCAAACTCGATTCCTCCTGCTTGAAGATGGGCAAGGCAAGGACGTCACTGCAAAGAGATTCACCAGACAGATCCATTTCAGCTTTGGCTACAGAGAGACGACGCTTTTGGTATTCAGTTCCTCCTGCTAGGAAGAGCTTAGAGCTTTTCTTAGTCAAAAAAATCACACAGCCTGACATCTCTGCAGGACTGCAAAGGAGCAGAGAAGCAGACCAAGGAGATGAGAGGAGGACCTGACACCTGCTCAGCTTTTCTTCCATTAAGTGTCCCCACCCACCCAAACCTCCGTGTTTCTTGCTCAGAGGCTAGGGGGCTGTTACAGAGTTTGAGTTGGGCCTGGACCTCCGGCAGTGTGCAGAACACCCAGCACACCCCATCCTCCTCCTCGTGCACCAGCCTGCTCCCCCCTGCCAGCACACCAGCCCCAGAGCCTCTCCCTGCTCCAGGCAGAGCAGCCAGGAGCTCCTCTGCCCTCCAGGAGAGGCTTGGCAGCGATCTGAAGCGTTGCTCAGGTCAAGGCTGCTGATTTTTTTTTGCCACTGCCACCTCTGTGCTTACAAATCCTGCCACCCAGCAGCCAAAGCGGGGGCAGAGACCTCAAGGCATGTTGGATGTGGGACATGTGGTCAGAGCACCAAACCTTCCCTCCCACAGCCACTGCCTGCCACACAACACAACGTACACAAGCACCTTGGTGGAGCCAGTCCTGTGGGCTGCACGTGGAAAGGGTCCCTCTCATGCAAAGGCAGCAGGAAGTGGCTTTCCCAAACTCACCAACAAGCCCCCAGGCCCAAGAGCCCTTTGTGCTGAGCCCCACACAAGCAGCCACCCTGACCCAAACCAAGAGCTCGGGACGCCCAGAGGTCAAAAGATGCTGCACAGGTCGGGCAGCACAGCCCCCGTGGGCGAGCCAGCCTACACGTCATGACACGAGGAGATCCCCTGGGGGGCCACTGGGGCTCGGGAGGAGCTGCCCCGGGGAGCTGTTGGGATGAGTGCCCCACAAACCCTTCCCCTCCAGCAGCCCAGGTATGCTCCTGGCCGTCGGGTTACGCAGTGTGCTGCTGTGCCCCCACGCCACACGCGGCCACCCGGGTCCTCCCCGAGGGCAGCAGTGTCACACTGAGCCCTGAGGAAGAGCCCATCGCCTGCTCCTCGTGCTCTGGGCTCACAGGAGTGCAAGGAAGGAGTTAAATCAGCTTTTTCTTTAGTTGAAGATTAAAAACCTTTCCCAAGGAAAAACCGGCCTTACCTGGCCAAATACCAGCTCCCACCCTAACAGGGCTTTAACCTTTGGGTCTCAACAGACTAACCATGCCCCTTCCTCCACGGCTGCTGCCCGAGTGGCAGAGCCCTTCCCTTCCCCACCCCAGGGCAGGACGCAGAGCACGGCTGCCCGGACCCGGCGGGGACAGGGGACACACTGGCACACCCTGCCAGCAGAGGAGCCCTGCCCCGCGGGACCCGGGAGGGAGCCAGGCCACTGACACCCCTGGGGAAGCTGCAGGTGGGATGAGCAGCAGCCGTGCCTGGACAGAGGGGGAAAATCGGCCCCTCCAGCAGAGGGCTGTCCCGGGGTGAGGGCAAGTGTGACAGAGGTCACGCTGAACTCCAGACTACAGCACGGCAGCTCTTGCAGATGGCACCTGACCTGCCCAGGCCCAGGATGGAGCCAGTCCCTGCAGGATGGCACCGGGGAAGTGCACGACCAGGCACAGACCCACTCCCCGGGCCGGCTCAAGTGTCCCCCACCACCTCGCAGCCACACCGACACTCCACCCGCGAAGGCCCCGGACCCCAACAGCCACGCCCATGCCCGGGGTGTTGGATCTTGTTGTGGTCCTGCTCCTCTCCTCTGCACTCGGTTTAGTGCAGTCAGCACAGAGCCAGCCTGATCTGAGAAAAGCATGTGGTGTTCCTGCGGGAGGGTAACGAACTAGGGCAAAGCCCTGCTCCTGGGAC